GATCCCAGGACTTTCAGGAGTCCATTCCCAACAACCTAACCAGAGCTCCCAAATGAAAAGCCGAGGGCTGCTGTAACAGCTGCCATTCTTACCTTAAGAAAGAGAACGTGGTTGTCAGGCTCCTCTCTGGAACAGTGAAAAGGTTTGCACTCACAGTAATCAGCCTACCAGAGATAAAAAAGATAAGGTAAGAGCCACTGCTGACGATGAGTAACGTTCTTGAACAACTGGAATGTTTTCTAACAAAAGGCAGGTTTCTGGATGTTTGGAGACGTTTCAGAATAGAACAGCAATACAGTCAATTGAACAATATCAAATGCATGAAATCCCTGGAATCAAGTCAAGGTGGGGCCGTTAACATTACAGAGAGTGTGAGCTAGTGTTTTATTAACACACACCTGGGCCCCATCTAATTAAGACTGGTAATAATTGGTGAAATCATACACCTCATCACGTCCCTCCACAAAAATGGCTGTTTACCAAAGAGCTGGCAGAAGTCTGTATAACACCGGCATATATCAGGGTATTTGGCAGGCCGTAGCATTCACACATTCAACATATCCACAATGAAGACTCTGTGCCATTTAACCTGGTTTGGAAGACAGTCCTACCAGCTGATGAAATAATGACAACATGAGTCTTGAACCCAGATGAGGAGGTGGGAGGGAACTGGAATGTTTCCATACATGCATTCAAAGGAGCAAATATAAAAGACAAAACTTATGCCCAATTTTTTCTATTATATATTTATACCTTTTTTTTTTTTGTAAGAGATGGGATCTCACTCTGGCCCAGGCTAGAAGACAATGGTATGATCACAGCTCACCGTAGCCTCAAATTCCTGGGCTCAAGCGATCCTCCCACCTTAGCCTCTTGAGTAGTTGGGACTTCAGGCATGTACCACCACACCTGGCTACTGTGATAGTTAATTTGATGCATCAACTTGGCAAGGCTATGGTGCCCCTCTGTTTGGTCAGACATCAGTCCATGCTGCCAAGAAGGTATTTTTTAGATGTGATTAGCATTTAAATCAGTAGATCTTGAATAAAGCAGATTATCTTTCATAATGTGAGTGGGCCTCACTTGATCAGTTGAGGCTTCAAAAGCCTGAGGACTCCCAAGAAGAAATTTTGCCTCCAGCCTCTCTTTGGACTCAAGATTGCAACAGTAACTCTTCCTTGGATCTCCAACCTGGTAGCCTGCCGTATGAATCTCAGACTTGCCAAGCCCCAGAATTGTATGAGAAAATTCCTTAAAATATATCTCCTTGCCCCTACTCTCTCTCTTTCTACACACACACGCACACATACTCTCTCTTGGTCAGGGTTCTCTGAAGAACCCTAATTAGTACTAGTATGCCATCTAATTTCAAAAAAGAATGAGTTCATTTGCAAAACATATATACTATGTAGAGAAGACAACATAAAAAGAGGCTATAAGAACACGAGAAAAAGTCCACAGAAATGTATGTTGTAAGGTGCTAAATTATTACTAGATGTGGTTCATAAATTAGGCTCTGAGCATGCTAGTAGCCAAAGCAAAGAAGAAAATAGACACACTATGGTCACATTGAACAAAATATAAAATACCCATACACATACTCCTCAAGAGTGTTAGCTTCGTGTCATTGAGAAACGTCTTCCAAAGTGTCCCTACCTCAGGTAAATTCTTAAAGGATCCTTTATCATCCACATTTGGGGAGGAAGAGGAGAGTAATTAATTAACAATGTCTCTAAGTATACACATTAGGGGGTCTCCTATAATGTCTTCTTCCTGCATCCCACAACATGAAATATGACACCAAAGTACAACTCACTAAAGTGATCTGGCAAGGAAAAAAAACACATAAAAATCTGATTATCTGGCTTGATCCAGGGATAAAAGTTAGAATTTCTGAAAATACTAATGAACTCCATATCCTTCGAGATATTTTCCATAAATGTTATTATTTCTTCCAATAAAAAGTTGGGTAGGAATTGGGCTATAACTGTCTGAGACTACAGTCCTGGCAACAGCCTGGAGTAGAAGTTTTCTCTATTGCTGATTAGTGGCAAATCCATAGAAAAACTGCCCTCGGGCAGGTTTTTAAGCTCAAGTAATATATGTCTAAGGAATGCAAAGTTTAAATTGTGTATGTTTGTATGCATATAAGTCTGAAATATGCTTTCTGCATTGGAATCAATGTTTTAAAACTTTTTATTATGGTAAAACAAGCATAATAAAAAGTTTATCATTTTAGCCATTTTTAAAGTGTCTAATTCAGTGGCATTCAGTACATTCACAATGTTGTATAACCATCACCATTATCCATTCCTATAACTTTTTCAGCATCTCAAACAGAAACTTTGTACCCATTAAACACTAATTCCCCATTTCCTCTACCCCTAGCCCCTGGTGACCTCTATTCTACCTTCTGTCTCTTCTAGTTTGTCTATTTTAGGTACATCATATAAATGGAATCACATAATATTTGCCCTTTCTTGTGTCTGGCTTATTTTACTTAACACATTGTTTTCAACTTTCATCCATCTGGTAGTAT